GTAAAATAATAACTATTAAAGTTTGCTAAGGAAAGCTCAGGTGGTCATTACACAATTCTCTTTGTTTTTATTTGTTTAAAATTTCTCATCATTTGAAAAATTATCTAATCTAATTATGATGTGAGGTAAGTGGGCAGCTCTAAGTGAATATGGGTTTAATCTCTACAGACAGAAAGGACTTCAATGTAAGTCTCCAGATGAGACAGATATAGGCCCATCAACTATAAAACCCTGCACAAAAGAAGAAATGTGTTAGCCAAGTTGGAAACTTAATAAGAAAGTACAGTTTCAGAGGAGCAGAAAATAAATAAGGAAAGAGAAATGTTAATGAACAGAAGAATGAGGACAGCGCGGGGGAAGCAGCAAATAAACAGCAAGAAAGACGACTTCTAGAACAAAGGGGAAGGAAAGGTATTTCTTGAGTATTTACTGTGTTCCAAGTCCTCTTGGTAGGTACCTTTTTTTTTTTTGAGTTGGCATCTCACTCCATCGCCCAGGCTGGAGTGCAGTGGCACACTCACAATCACTCCAGCGTCGCCCTGCTGGGCTCCAGAGATCCTTCCACCTCAGCCTTCCAAGTAGCTGGAAGTACAGGCACGCGCTACCACGCCTGGCTAATTTTTTATTGTAGAGACGCGGTATTGCCAAGTTGCTAGGGCTGGTCTTGAACCTGCGGGCTCAGGCAATCTACTTGCCTCGGTCTCCCAAAGTGCTGGGATTACAGGCTAAGCCACCGAGCCTGGCCCATCTTGGTAGGTATCCTATATCATTATCTCATATAATCCTCACAACAAATTTATATTATGAAATAAAAGGTCAAGTAACACAAATAACTTGCAACAAGTTGTTACATGTACCAAGTTACATGTAACAAGTAGCACAATCATGCAGATGTTAATTGATACCAAGACTCAAAGTTCTTCTACCTGATGCCCAAGCTTAACACTCTTGGCAGAAAACAATAATGCTACTTCCCAAGGAGCCACATTAAACATACAACAGAATAAACAGCCTTGTTTGAAGCACACAGATTAGGGAAATAGAAGGAAAGTTCTTCTGACAGGTAGAGAAATAAGAACACTACTTTCAGGCTGAGTGTGGTGGCTCAACCTATAATCCCAGCACATTCGGAGGCCAAGGTGAGAGGACTGCCAGAGCCCAGGGGTTCGAGACCAGCCTGGGCAACTTGGTGAGATCTTATTTCCACAATAAATCACAAAAAATAGCCGGGTATTTTGATGGTGTATATCCATCGGGGTCTTGAATTCAGAGTTCACAGATACTAAAGGTTCTGTTCATAGAATCCTGTTTGGTACACGAATTTAGGTAAGGGGGGAAAACAATACTTCTTTTTCACTAACCTCTAAATAAAATTTAGTTTGTCATTCTCTCATATCATTGTGAATATAGGCCTTTTGATTTTTTCTCCAATACAAATCTCAAAATATGTTCACATTACATTACAGTTACTGCAAAAAATTTCAAAATAATGGATTTGTCCTGCATGTCACTACTTCAAAATCATGGACATTTTTGGAAGCACTACTAGATCTTGTCATTAAACGCATTAATAAAGAAGAAATACAAGGCCAGGCACAGTGGCTCACACCTATAATCCCAGCACTTTGGGAAGCCAAGGTGAGAGGACTACCTGAGCCCACGGGTTCGAGACTAGCCTGGGCAACTTGGCAAGACCTCATCTCTATAATAAATAAAAACGTAGCCAGGCATGGTGGTGCATGACTATAATTCCTGCTACTTGGAAGGCTGAGGTAGAAGGACCACCTGAGTCCAGCAGGTCGAGGCTGCAGTGGCCGTGAGCATGCCACTGCACTCCAGCTTGGGCAACAGAGTGAGACTCCAACTCAAAAAAAAAAAAAAGAGGCAAATATAATATCACAGGTTTTTAAAAAATAATATTTTGGTAACTATATATATATAGTTTCCTTGCAGCTATGGGTTTAAAAATGTCATTCTCAGAAGGACTCCAAATTGCCAAGAGGTACCTGTCATTAGAACAAAGATTAAGAATTGCAGGCCAGGAGTGGTGGCTCACAAATGTAATTCCAGTATGTTGGGAGGCCGAGGTGGGAGGACTACTTGAGCCCAGGAGTTGAAGACTAGCCTAGGCAACATAGTAAGACTTCGTCTCTACAAAAATATTAAAAAATTAACTGGACGTGGTGGTGTGCGCCTATACTTCCAACTACTCAGAAAGCTGAGGCAGAAGGATCTCCTGAGCTTAGGAGGTTGAAGCTACAGTGAGCCATGATGGTGCCACTGCACTCCAGCCTGGATGACAGAGTAAGACTCTAAATCAAAAACAAACAAAGGCTGGGCTCGGTGCCTCAGCCTGTAATCCTGCGCCTTTGGGAGACTGAGGTGAGTGGATTGCCTGAGCCCACGGGTTTGAGACCCGCCTGGGCAGGCAAGACCTCATCTCTACAATAAATAAAAAAATTAGCCGGGTGTGGTAGCATGCGTCTGTAATTCTGGCTACTCGGAAGGCTGAGGCAGAAGGATCCCCAGAGCCCAGCAGGTTGAGGCTGCCGTGGCCGGGAGCAGCCACTGCACGCCAGTCTGGGCGATAGAGTGAGACTCCAACTCAAACAAACAAACAAACAACTACAGAAGATGGAAAACAGATGGTGAGAGAAGGGCAGAGAGAAAGCAGAAAAGCAAACAATCGAGACAAGATTATAAAAACAAGCTAGGGTGACAGCAGTGCTGGTAGAGAGAAATATGGGGGGGTGGTCCCCAAAAAACTCAGAATTTATTTATAAAAAATTGTATATTTAAGGAGACTCGGTGGCTCAGCCTGTAATTCCGCGCTTTAGGAGGCTGTGGTGAGTGGATTGCCTGAGCCCGCGGGTTCAAGACCCGCCTGGGCAATTTGGTGAGACCTCATCTCTACAATAAGTCAAAAAATTAGCCAGTCGTGGTACCGCGCACCTGTACCAGTAGTTCCAGCTACTTGGAAGGCTGAGGCAGAAGGATTGCCAGAGCCCAGCAGGTCGAGGCTGCAGTGGCCAGGGGCGTGCCACTGCACTCCAGTCTGGGTGACACAGTGAGACTCCAACTCAAAAAAAAAAAAAAATTGTATTTATTCGTACATGCTTAAACTTCAGTCACCTTCAAAGTATTCTCTATTTGATGCAATGCACCTACCAAGACACTTTTCCACTGCTCAAAACAGTTTTTGAACTAATCAATTTTAATGTCTTTTAGTGCTTGTGTCATTTTTTGTTTCACCTTTTCCACACTGGCAAAACATTTCCCTTTGAGGACTTTTTTCATCCGGGGAAACAAAAAAAAAAAGTTGCTCAGGGTGAGATTTGAATAGGGAGGGTAGAGCATGGGAGTCATGCAATTTTTAAATGCACTGAAAGAGTCTCCAAAATAAATTCACTGAAGCCAAACGCGGCTTCTCACAACAAAGCTAGCTGGGACTCTGATGCTGAAGGGTTCCTAGAACACAACTAGTGGGGAAAGCCTGTACTACAAAGGGCCCACCCTCCAAAAGATAATTCTGGTTTTTTTTGGAGTCCTCTCCTCCAGTAGACCAAAAGATACTTATTTGACAAAATTGATATTAGAGATTCTCTTCAAATGTAATTTTCAAAAAATACCAAATATTGCAAAAATGCTAACAATACAATGATAAATAAAAGAGTCTATACATTATGATGACTACACTGAAATTCTCTTGTGTACAGAAAACACAAGAATGTTAAAAAGTATTTCAAAATGTTAGACATGGTCATCACTGAAGTACTGGGTAGCATTAAAAACATAATTATTCCTTTGGACTTTTCTCAATTTTTCCACATTTTACAAAAATGACTACCAGAAAAAAAGTAAATATAATTTTAAAGTTATTTTCAGAAAAATTTTAACGAAATGAGAAAAAGTTGATGTTTCAAAGTGAAAAAGTATATAAAACTTTACATACATATCATCTCAATAATCTATATAACTATTGGTGATTTCTCTATGCTGTTAGATTGTCCATGCTTTTACACCATCTATTACTTTCACAAATTACATTATTTTTAAGTAGACAGATCAGCTAAGCCCAGGAAGAAGCGTTCTTTTATTTTTGAGTTGGAGTCTCACTCTGTCACCCAGACTGGAGTGCAGGGGCCGCTCCCGGCCACCGCAGCCTCTACCTGCTGGACCCCGGCTATCCTTCCGCCTCAGCCTTCCGAGTAGCTGGAATTACAGGCATGCGCTATCATGCCCGGCTAATTTTTTGATTTATTGTAGAGATGAGGTCTCGCCTGCCCAGGCGGGTCTCGAACCTGCGGGCTCAGGCAATTCACTCACCTCAGCTTCCCAAAGGCATGGGATTATAGGCTGAGCCACCGAGCCTGGCAAGAAGCGTTCTTTAAAATTTAAAATCAGGAGAAAGAAGAAAGGTTTACTGCAGTCCAAGAATTTGAGGCTGTAGTAAACCATAATTGTGCCACTGCACTACAGTCTGGGCGACAGAGTATTGATTTATTTTCCTTTTTGGGTGTGGGTGTGTGTGTGTGTGTGGGTGTGTGTGTGTGTGTGTGTGTGTGTGTGTGTGTGTGTGTGTGTGTGTGTGTGTGTGTGTGTGTGTGTGTCTCAGCCTGTAATCCCAGCACTGTCGGAGGCTGAGGTGAGTGGAATGCCTGAGCCCACGGGTTCGAGACCCACCTGGGCAGCTTGGTGAGACCTTATCTCTACAATGAAATAAAAAATTAGCTGGGCGTGGTAGCACACGCCTGTAGTTCTGGCTACTTGGCAGGCTGGGGCGGAAGGATCGCTGGAGCCCAGCAGGTCGAGGATGCGGTGGCTGGGAGCATGCCACTGCATTCTAGTCTGGATGACAGGGTGAGACTCCAACTCAAAAAAAAAAAAATGTCAGGAGACTAAAAATTAGCTTAGAAAAACAGGTAAGAAAAGAATAGCAAAGACAGGATACATCAACAGTTAAAAAGTTAGATTGTAGAACACCAAACTCATAATCTTACCTTTACTAGGAGAGCAAAATTACTCTTCAGAGAATTTGTCACACCATTTTCATACACCATTTTCCTCATGTGGTTTTCACTCACATTCTCACCGCCAGATTGATACCTTAATAATGACTTTAGTATGGTTTCAAAAGGGTCCGCTGAAACAGATAAATTATTAAGTATCTCTATATCAAAATAATCACTAAAAAAAATCTTCAGCAAGAGAACAAGAGATCAAGGAAATAAGGGATTATAGCTAAGAACATGGTAATTTTTTTCATTACTTCCTTATTTGTCTTTTCTAAATATAAACAATTCAAGAGTCAATTAAAACTGGTAAGCATACAATATCCTGACTGGGAATTCCACTGTAAATCATTAATACTTGCATACATTTTCTACCTACATGACAACAATGTAATTGATTATTTTTAAAACCCCAATTCACTGATTTTAAAGAAAATGGGTAAGTTTGCGTGTAGTTATCAAGTATTACAGTTAAAGTTATTTACTTGGGGCTGAGCTCGGTGGCTCAGCCTGTAATCCTGCGCTTTGGGAGGCCAAGGGTGAGTGAATTGCCTGAGCCCGCGGGTTCGAGACCCACCTGGGCAACTTGGAGAGACTTCATCTCTACAATAAATAAAAAAAAAATTAGCTGGGCATGGTAGCGCACGCCTGTAGTTCCAACTACTTGAAAGGCTGAGGCGGAAGGATCGCCAGGGCAGCCACTGCACTCCAGTCTGGGTGAATGAGTGAGACTCCAACTCAAAAAAAAAAAAAAAATTATTTACTTGGTACAAGCACAGTCTATAATCCCAACACTTTGGAAGGTTGAGACTAGGATCACTTGGGGCCAGGAGTTCAAGACAAGCCTAGGCAATGCAACAGTGCCCTCTTATCTCTACAAAATTTTTTTTTTTAGCCTCTGTCACCCAGGCTGGAGTGCAGTGGCACACTCACAGTCACCCCAGTGTCCACCTCCTGGGCTCTAGTGATCCTTCTGCCTCAGCCTTTCAAGTCGCTGTAACTACAGGCATGCACTACCATGCTGGCTAATTTTTTGATTTATTGTAGAGACGAGGTCTCATCAAGCTGCCTGGGCTGGTCTCGAACCCACGGGCTCAGGCAATCCACTTGCCTTGGCCTCCCAAAGTGCTGGGATTACAGGCTGAGCCACTGAGCCCAGCCTACAAAAATTTTTTAAAAATTAGCTGGGCAGAGTAGCACGTGCCTGTAATTCCAGCTACTAGGGAAGCTGAGACAGGAGGATTGTTTAAGCCCAGGAGCCGTAATGAGCTATGGTGGCACCACTATACTCCAGCCTGAGTGACAGAGCAAGACCTTGTCTCTACAGAAGTTAAATAATTATTTAAATATTTCTATTCTCAGTCAGGCTCTGTGGCTCAGCCTGTAATACCAGCACTTTGGGAGGCTGAGGCGAGTGGATAGCCTGAGCCTATGGATTCGAGACTAGCCCGGGCAACTTGGTGAGATCTCATCTCAACAATAAATCCAAAATTAGCCAGGCATGGTGGCACCCGCCTATAGTTCCAGCTACTTGGAAGGCTGAAGCAGGATTGCCGGATCCTACCACATCGTCACTGGGGTGGTTGCGAGCACTTCAACCTGCACTCCAACCTGGGCAATGGAGTGAGACTCTAACTCAAAAAAATTCTATTCTCTCCCTTCACTTTTTTTTTTTTTTGAGTTGGAGTCTCACTGTCACCTAGGCCAGAGTGCAATGGCATGATCATGGCCACTGTAGCCTTGACATGCTGGGTTTACACTCTGTCTCAGCCTTCCAAGTAGCTGGGACTAGAGGCATGCACCACCATATCTGGCTAACTGTTTGATTTATTATAGAAACAAGGTGTCTCGCCATGTTGCCTAGGTTGGTCTCCAACTCCTGGGCTCGGGCAATCCTCCGGCCTCAGTTCCCCAAAGTGTTGCAGTTATAGGCATAAGCCACCACACCCTGCCTTTTTTCAATTGTTTAAATGTACTTCTTTAGTGACTATATTATTTAAACACACACACACACACACACACACACACACACGATACATTGTCATTGTAAACAATTCAAATGCAGGAAGAAAGTTAAATTCATCCTAAATTTAACCACACAGAGATAGTCACTGTCAGCATTTTAGACATTTTTTACAACCGATATCATTTCTTTCTCTTTTTTTTTGAGTTGAAGTCTCACTCTTTGTCGTCTAGGCTGAAGTGCAGTGGCACGCTCATGGCCAACACAGCCTGGACTTACTAGGCTTCGGCGATCCTTCTACCTCGGTCTTCCAAGTAGCTGGGACTACAGACGCACGCCAATATGCTCGGCTTCTTTTTGTGATTTACTGTAGAGACGAGGTCTCACCAAGTTGCCCAGGCTGGTCTTGAATTCCTGGGCTCAGGTAATCCTTTCACCTTGGCCTCCCAAAGTGCTGGGATTCTAGGCTGAGCCACCGCGCCTGGCCTGATTTTTTTTTTTTTTTTTTTTTAGTTGTAGTCTCACTCAGTCTCCCAGGCTGGAGTGCAGTGGCACACTCATGGTCACCCCAGTGTCGACCTGCTAGGCTCCGGCGATCCTTCTGCCTCAGCCTTTCAAGTAGCTGGAACTACAGGTGTGTGTTACTAAGCCCAGATAAGTTTTGATGTATTGTAGAGACAAGGTCTCACCAAGTTGCCCAGGTTGGTCTCAAAGCCTCCCAAAGTGCCAGGATTACAGGCTGATATATAACAGAGAGAGAGACGGACAGAAAAACCTGTCAAACTTTCCAAATAACTACTTTCCTGGCCCGGCATAGTGGGTCACTCCTATAATTCTAGCACTCTGGGAGGCCAAGGTGGGAGGAGTTCAAGAGCAGCCTAGGCAAAATAGCAAGACATCATCTCTACAAAAAATAAATTAAAAAATTAGCTAGGCTTAGTGGTGCATGCCTATAGTCCCAGCTACTTGGGAGCCTAGGAGTTTGTAGCCAGGACTACAGGTGCATGCCCCCACATTTGGTTTCTTTTACCATATGTGTGATTATCAACTTCTGGATAAATTCCTTAAGATACTATTGTTAGGTCAAAGGTTACTGTTGGCTGGGCATGGTGGCTCACACCTGTAATTGCAACATTTTGGGAGGCCAAGACAGGAGGTTTGCTTAAAGCTAGGAGTTCGAGAGTAGCCTGGCAACACAGCAAGACCTCATCTCTACAAAATCAAAAATTTAGCTAGGCAACGTAGCTTGCACCTGTGGTCCCAGTTATTTGGCAGCCTGAGGCAGAAAGACTGCCTCAGGAGGTCGAAGCTGTGGTGGATTATGACTGCACAACTGCACTCCACCCTGGGGAACAGAGTGAGACCCCTGCTGAAAAAAAAAAAAAAAAAAGGATACTGCCAACCTTCTTCTCTCTAGAAAGTTTGTTCAGTACAATATTTATAGTACATGTTTCCCCATTCCCTCATCAATAAAGAGTTTTGCCAGTATCCCTCATCTCTTCTGGTAAGATAGGTAAACAGGTTTATTTTTATTTACAACCAACTGAATATTAGTGAGGTTGAAATATTTTCATTTGTTTATTAGTCATTCATATTTCTTCTTAATTACCTTGTTTTTGCCCATTTTCCTGCAAGGGAATTTTTTTTTTTTTGAGTTGGAGTCTCACTCTGTTGCCCAGGCTGGAGTGCAGTGGCCACTTTCGGTCATCATAGCCTCCACCTGCTGGGCTCAGGCAATCCATCTGACTCAGCCTTCTAAGAAGCTGGAACCACAGGCACATGCCACAATGCTCAGATAATTTTTTGATTTATTGTAGAGATGAGGTCTCACCAAGTTGCCCAGGCTGGTCTTGAACCCCTGGGCTCAGGCAATCCTCTAGTCCTGGCCTCCCAAAGTACTGGTATTATAGGCTTGAGCCACCACGCCCGGCCTCTGCAAGGGCATTTTATTTTTGTTTTCTTATTAGTTCTTATTGATGATTTAACACAAATATAGTAATCGATAGCTACACATAATATATGGTAGTGTGTAACCAGCATTTTCCTCTTTCTTCATCCCTTTGCGAGGTTTTTTGTTTTGTTTTGTTTTTTGAGTTGGGGTCTCATTCTATCACCCAGGCTGGAGAGCAGTAGCATAATCATGACAATCATGGCTCACAGCAGCCTCAATCTCCTGAGTTCAGGCGATCCTTCCACCTCAGCATTCCAAGAAGCAAGGACTATAGTGGCAGGTCACCATGCCCGGCTAATTTTTTTGTTTTTTATAGAAAGGAGGTTTCTCTATGTTGCCCAGGCTGGTCTCAAAGTCCTGGGCTCAAGCAATCCTCCCACTTCAGCCTCCCAAAGTGCTAGGATTACAGGTGATATTCACCATACCTGGCTTGTTTTTGTTTTTAGAGATAAAGTCACACTGTGTTGCTCAGGTTGGTCTCCAACTCCTGCAGTCAAGTGATCCTCCCACTACAGCCTCCTGAGTAGCTGGGACTACAGATACATGCCACTGTGCCCACTCAAGGTATTTTTTATTATACTAAAATGTGTCACTTCTATGTAGGTAGATTTATTCAACTTGTGTTTTATGGCTCCTAGATCTTTTGTCATAGTAAGAAAAGGTCTATCTATATTCCCCACAGTCAGAAAAAGAAACAATATTTAACTATGTTGTTTCCTAATACTTTCATGACTTCATTTGGAATTTATTTTGTTGTTTTTTTAAAATCGGTTTTTTTTATGTATAAGTTTAAGGAGTACAAGTGCAGCCTTGTTTCATAGATACATTGTATAATGGTGTAGTCTGGGCTTCCAGTGCAAACATCACCCAAATAATGGATACTGCTTCATCAAGCAATCACTGGAATTTATTTTGATATGAAGAACAAGGCAGGGGCCGGGCTCGGTGGCTCAGCCTGTAATCCCATGCTTTGGGAGGCAGAGGTGAGTGGATTGCCTGAGTCCGCGGATTCAAGACCCTCCTGGGCAACTTGGTGAGACCTCAACTCTACAATAAATAAAAAAATTAGCCAGGCATGGAAGCACATGCCTATAGCTCCAGCTACTTGGAAGGCTGAGGCAGAAGGATTGCCGGAGCCCAGCAGGTCAAGGCTGTGGTGGCCAAGAGAGTGCCACTACCCTCCAGCCTAGGTGACAGAGTGAGACTCCAACTCAAAAACAAACAAAAAAAACCAAAACAAAACAAAAAAGAAATAAGGCAGGAATTGAGATTTATTTTTTCCAATTAGCTAACCAATATTGCCAAAACCAGCTATTACTTTTGTGATAAAATGTTGTCTTTGTGATATATACTTGGTTTGTTTTCTTAAATACCTACTCTATTCCAGTAATCTGTCTGCCAAGACCTGTCACAGCATGAGAGTCTTTCAATTAACCTAGCTTTATGATACACTATATCATCTGATGGTTCAAGTATTATCCTCATTATTATTCTTTTTAAAATTTTCTCATCCAGGCTTGGTGGCTCAGCCTATAATCCCAGCACTTTGGGAGGCTGAGGCAAGTGGACTGCCTGAACCTGCAGGTTTGAGACCCACCAGGCAACTTGGCGAGACCTTGACTCTACAATAAATCAAAAATTAGTCGGGCATGGTAGCGTACCCCTGTAGTTCCAACTACTTGGAAGGCTGAGGCGGAAAGATCGCGGGAGCCCAGCAGGTCAAGGCTGCAGTAGCTGGGAGCGTGCCACTACACTCCAGTCAGGGCGCAGAGTGAGACTCCAACTCAAAAAAAAAAAAAAAAAAAAAAAAAGATTTTCTCCTGGCTACTCATGTACTATTAGTCTTCCAGATATACCCTGGAACTATTTTTTCAGATTCCCAAAAAAAATGCTGTTGAAATTTACTTTGAAATTTTGTCATATATACCTATAAATGAAAGAAAAACACAATTTTATAATACTGTCTCAAATGAGGTAATAAAGACTTTAACATAATGCCTAGAACACAGTACAAAGTATTCAATAAATGTTAGCAACTTCTATCCAAGAACAATGTGCACTACTTTATTTGTACACACTTATTATTAAAAGGTAAGGATCAGCTAATTAGAAAGAAAATTAAACTTACATGTCTTATTGGGGTTGATATGCTGCTTCAGTACATCCACAGTGCCCAAGCTAACCACAAGGCGCCTGCCAAACCAGAAAGAGACCACAGGCCCGAATCTCTCATGCAAATTAACCAGGAACTCGTGCAAACTTCCACTATTTACAATATCTGGAAGATTACCATCTCTGACAAAAGACAAAACATTTGACAAAATAATCACTTTAATTTGGAAAAATCAGAAAAATAATAGCTGACTCTGCATTAACTATGGAATTCAAATTACCGCAAAATCCAAAACTCAATTGTATTTGCCTTGTTGCTATGTTTCTATAGTTATATTTAGATATGGATTTGTGTGATAGTTTAAGAATTCATAACACTTCAGACCAAATAGGAAAGCCACAAGAAGCACCTGACTTTGTTACTGGAAAACCATCCAACTTTTGCAACACCTAATTCTAACAAGGATATCATTACAGGCTAATGAAAGTCATCAGGTTAGTTATGGCAATTTTTTTCTTCTTTCCTTCTATCTTAATCCTATTTTCAGCTTTTTCTGGCAGGGGGAAGTGAAAGGAATTAAAGGTTTTGATTTATACAGCTCTCCTTTCTGTTCTTAACAAAGTTTAGGTTATATGCCCAAACATAAATTTAGGATAAATAAAGGAACTAAATAAGATGATAAATCTAAAAATATGGTTTAGTTTTGATACCAAAAATGAAAAGCTGACTCTACTTGATTCCAAAAAAATACTCACTTTTCTTCAGTTGGAGTAATCCCTGGAATTCCTGCAGCTTGTCTGGAAGCCTTAAGGAAAAAATTTTAAATAGTTTAGAATAACGCATTACCATATATCCCATAAGTGTTCCACCAAACATCTGCAGGACTTAAACAATGGCTCGCTAATTCAATTGAATCTAAGAAATAATCTCTATATTAAAATACAAAAAAAGGCCAGGCATGGTGGCTAACACCTGTAATCACAGTACTTTGGGAAGCTGAGACAGGATTGCTTGACCCCAGGAGTTCAAGGCCAGCCTAGGCAACATAATGACACCTTATCGCTACAAAAAAAAATTTTTTTTTTTTTTTTGAGTTGGAGTCTCACTCTGTCACCCAGACTGGAGTGCAGTGGCCACTCCCGACCACTGCAGCCTCAACCTACTGGGCTCCAGCGATCCTTCCGCCTCAGCCTTCCAAGTAGCTGGAACTACAGGCACGCACTACCACACCCGGCTCATTTTTGATTTATTGTGGAGATGAGGTCTCGCCCAGTTGCCCAGGCGGGTCTCGAACCCGCGGGATCAGGCAATCCACTCACCTCAGCCTCCCAAAGGCACGGGATTACAGGCTGAGACACCGAGCCGGCTACAAAAAATTTTAAAACAATAGCTGGGTGTGGTGGCTACATGCCTGTAGTCCCAGCTACTCAGGAGGCTGAAGAGGGAGGATCATCTGTGCCCAGGAACTCAAGGCTGCAGTGAGCAGTGATTGTGCCACTGTATTGCAGTCTGAGCAAGAAAGTGAGACCCCGAATCAAACAAAAAGGGGTGGTTTGGGGAGGATTTTTTTTTTTTTTTTTTTTTGAGTTGAGTCTCACTCTGTCGCCTAGGCTGGAGTACAGTGGCACACTCACGGCCAACCCAGCATCGACCTGCTAGGCTCTGGCGATCCTTCTGCCTCAGCCTTCCAAGTAACTGGAACTCCGCGCATTACCACACCAGCTAATTTCTTATTTATTATAGAGACGAGGTCTGGCCAAGTTGCCCAGGCTGGTCTCAAACCCGCGGGCTCAGGCAATCCACTTGCCTTGGCCTCCCAAGGTGCTGGGATTACAGGTTGAGCCACTGAGCCCGACCTTGGGGAGGATTTTTTACATGGAAAAGAATTATCTTAACCAGGCATGGTGGCTCACACTTTTAACACCAACACTTGGGGAGTCTGAGTCAGGAGAATCAGGCCAGGAATTCAGGACCACCTGGGCAACATAGTAAGACTTTATCTCAACAAAACACACAAAAATTAGTTAGAGAGGTGGCATGTACCCATAGTCCTACCTACTCAGGAGGCTAAGGTAGGAGGACTGCTTGAGCCCAGAAGGTAAAGGCTGCAGTGAGCCATGACTGCACCACCACACTCCAGTCTGGGAAGTAGAGCAAAGACACTGTATCAAGACAGAAAATAAAAATAAAGAATTGCCTAATGGTCTTTCTCTGTGTCGATTAAACTAAACTGTATGAAGAATTTAATATCCGCTGTATATCAAGTAACACATATCAAGCACATTTTTCTTTGTTCTGAGTTTATATATGGTCCCAGATGGCTAGGCTAAAAAAAAAAAAAAAAAAAGTCCACAGTTTCATTCATCCCTTAAATAATTATGTTCTTTTTAGTCAAAGAATTCATCAAATTACAATAAGATGACTATGGTCTGAATGTTTGAGTCCCCAGAAGTCATATATTGAAATCAAATCCCCAATACAATAGTATTAATAGGTGAGGCCTTTGGGAGGTGATGAAGTCATGAGAGCAGATGCCTCATGAATGGAATTAGTGCCACTATACAAGAGGCGAGGAGAAGCTTATCTGTCCCACCATGTGAGGACACAGTGAGAAGGCACCACCCATTATCTAGGAAATGGACCCTCAACAGATCTGGACTTCCCAGCCTCCAGAAATAGAAATAAATTTCTGTTGTTTATAAACCACCAAGCTTAGTATTTTGTTAAAGCAGCCCAAACAGACTAAGACAACTATATTCATCTTTTGCGTTAATGCAGTCGTTATTATTAATGCCATGCAGTGAGCTGTCTGCTACCAAGATATATTAAATCATACATAAATATAATAAAATGTTTATTTATTTTTTTTGAGTTGGAGTCTCACTCTGTCACCCAGACTGGAGTGCAATGGCCGCTTCCTGCCACTGCAGCCTCGACATGCTGGGCTCTGGCAATCCTTTCGCCTCAGCCTTCCAAGTAGCTGGAACTACAGGCGCGCGCTACCATACCCAGCTCATTTTTGATTTGTTAGAGATGAGGTCTCACCAAGTTGCCCAGGCGGGTCTCAAACCCACAGGCTCAGGCAATCCACTCACCTCGGCCTCCCAAAGTGCTGGAATTACACGCTGAGCCACCAAGCCCAGCCTAAAATATTTATAATAATAAAATAATTCACAGCAAACTGTTAAAGTGACAACCTCTAAAAAATGAACTGGAGAATTTTAATTTTTTACAAGTTTCTTTTTTTTTTTTTTTTTTTTGAGATGGAATCTCACTGTCACCAAGGCTGGAATACAGTGGCACACTCATGGCCACCACAACCTCGACCTGCTGGGTTCAGGTAATCCTTCCACTTCAGCCTTCCAAGTACCTGGAACTAAAGGTGTGCGCCACTATGCCTAACTAATTTTTTTTAATTATTGTAGAAGCGAAGTCTTGCCATGCCATCCAGGCTGGTCTTGAACCCGTGGGCTCAGGTAATCCTCTTGCCTCTGCTTCCGAAATGCTGGGATTATGGGGATTTTAGCTTTTACAGTTTTCTACTGAGCTTATGGTTGTTGGCATTTGGGGTGGGTGCTATTTTTTATTTTACAACAAGCATACATTACTTTTATAAATTGATTCTTAAATATTTACAGAAAAGATAACCTAAAATATCCAACTATAGAATCAATTCTGGGTTTTGTCAATGATTATGACTACCATTGAGTTTTATCTGTTTGGCATTACACTTTTTTCTATTTAACACTATACATGTAAATGAATAACTGAATACTTATTTATGTGAACACTTAAATGCTAAACTGCATTCCATCATGCTGCCAGAATTGCTTACTCATGTTTCTGCTATATTGCTGTAAAGTGTCTGGCCTATTGCTTTTGTTTCATTCCTTGTTATATTACTATAAGAAATGTAAGCCGGGCTCGGTGGCTCAGCCTGTAATCCCATGCTTTGGGAGGCTGAGGTGAGTGGATTGCCTGAGCCCGCAGGTTCGAGATCCACCCGGGCAATTTGGCGAGACCTCATCTCTACAATAAATCAAAAAAATCAAAGAAATGCTATGAAAATCTTTGCACAACTTTAGTTTTTTCCTCGTTTCCCTCTCCTTTGGAACCCCAAAAGAGAAATAATGGGTTGAGTGGTACTAAAGAGCTTCACAGTTTCAATTAAATACTACGAAATTGTTACCAAGGCAATGGAACTATATGTATTGCTTGTATTTAATGATGATAATAAAAGCTACAATACGTAACTTGTGTTATACACATTGTTAATTTTTTTTCTAAGTGAGAAAGCAGAATTTATTGAGAGGACAGAGAAGCTCCCACAGTGGGAAGGGACCTGAAGAGGTTGCTCACATTGTCAAATTTAATATTACAAATAGTGGGAAAAGAAAAAAACAGCCCCATTTTTTTTTAAAAGAATAACATCGCCGGGCTCGGTGGCTCAGCCTGTAATCCCGCGCCTTTGGGAGGCTGAGGTGAGTGGATTGCCTGACTGC